AGATTCAAGAGGGCGGGGGTTGCATCACCTCATCTTCACCAAAACTGGGGGATGCTAGGGAGGAGCCAGGGAGGAGTAAGAGCATCCTAACAATTAAGCCCAGCCTATCCGAGCAGAGACTAAGCACCTCCCACTCTCTGGATGCTCGTCGCAGCTCACCGAGAATGGGTGTATCAGGTAAGTACCAACGCCCTTTTGCAGTATCCTTCCCCTGCCACGCCCACCAAGCTGCACCACACCCACCCAAGCTATACCACACCCACCAAGCCACACCCACAGAACCAGTAGTAAATTTTTTTGAATCCCACTGCTGATTGGTAGTAAAAGGTCTCTTCTGCTTCAGACAATAGGAACATGCTCTTTAAATACTTCCCTGAGCTTTTGAGACAACAGAGGGTTTGGCAAAGTACTTGTGTGTGTGTGTGTGTGTGTGTGTGTGTGTGTGTGTGTTCTTTGAAACATGAACAAATGATTTGCAACAGTAACATTTAAGTTTTTCTTAGGCCAAATTGCATTTCTCACTTGCATATTTCCTATCATGTTTTTGACTACCATTATTTCATTTGACTACCATTATTTCATTTGACTACCATTATTTCACTTATGGAATTAACGATAAATATTCTTAATGCTCATAATGAATGTTAGCAACTCAATTTGGTATAAAGCAAAAGACAGGTGGTAGTCAACAAATTTGAATTAGAAACCAAATTTCTAATAGGTGAATGACTAGAAAAAGATGTATGTACTGTAGAACTATAGCATCCCCCAAGCTAAGTAAGCTTCTGAATGTGCTTCCCTCTTCCCTCCCACTCTTTATAATTGTGCGAATTAGGGAGGAGCTTGCCAGACGTTTACTAATGTTATTTTCTTGGCAAGGTTCAGCCCCCTTTTATTTGACTATTGCCTTGGTAGTACCTCTTCCTCCTGTCTTTCAAAGCCACTCTCTCCACCTTTTACAATATGTGGAAAAGGACAGTCATTTTCTGTTAGCATTTCCTGTTGCTATATGTAATAACATTGAGATCAAAGAATTCATAATACAATAATATTTTCTGTAGCTTTTACCAACATAGCTAAATGTAGGGTATCTGCAAGGTAATTATGGTGCTACAAGAGTGGAAAGGCTTGATTATAGCAACTCATGCTCTTATCATCTTGAAGCTAGACATAGGCAATGTGCTTAATATTAGACTCAAAAACAATTTAAACAAAGTGGCTCAACCCCTTGCTGGAAATAAGAACTATTTCAATCATATAACACCAGTTTGGAGTTCCTGCATTGGCTTTTGGAATTCAGAATGCTGCTTTTACTTTTTCATGGTTTGGCTCTGAAATACCATCACTTTCATATAGAATTGGCCCATCTTGTACACTTATCTTGGAAAAGGATGCTTAAGAATCCCTCCATATTCACTCAAAAGATTGGGAGGCTTTGGAACAGCCCTCTCTGAGATTCGGTTGATATCTGACCTTGATATAATTTAGAAAAACTGTAAAAGCAATGTTTCTGCAGTCATCTGCATTCTTTACTCTGCAAATAAATTAACCAAATTTTAACAATGGCTAGTGAAGCCTATGATTGCAATCTGCAATTATATTGGAAAGAAAATAGAAATGGAGGTCATGAGAATTGAAGGCAGTGTATTACTCAAAGCTTACTGACTAATAAAGAGAAATATATTTATTAAAAACATCATAGCAGCTTATTGAAAATAAAGCTTTTTACTAATATCTTTATATTGCTATAATAATAACTGATTTCCCCTTGAATATTATCTGAATAGTCTAAAATATATATTGCAGAAAATCATATCCACAAAAGAAATGTTTTTATATGTAGATTTACTCAACATGGAATATGAAAATTATTTAATAATTGCTGAAAAGATAATTCATAATCCCAAATATCAGTAGTAAGTTAACTAGTATGATATTTTTCCAGTTCTTATAAAGAATGAATTCAATCAGGTAAAAATTTTGGAACAGTACACAACATGGCAAAGTGAACAGAATGTTAAGCTCTCTGCTATGCTGCTACTTGTAATGAATTAGGTTGATAATTGGCAAATTAATATAGTTTGAGAGAAGGATGATATTACACATTTTCAATAATTAAATTTCTGCCAAATCTGCTAGAAGGTGTTAAGTTAGCTGCCTAAGGAAATTAAAAGAGCTACCGTTTTCTCCAGCATGACAATTGGAGAATCCACAGACGGGTTGGCACATGCTTTTCTGCCCAGAGACTGAGTCCATAATCTTTGCCACAACCCTTGTCAACTGTCACTTTTCCCAGTTCACGACTCAGTCTTGCCCTAAGAAGTTGTGGCAAAAGATTGGCTCTTATTCTTCGATCAGAAATGCTTGAAGATCAATCTGAAAGTTTTTCAGCTGTCAGGTTTGATTCACAACGTTTTTAAAGGCTTTTTTTGGGGGGGATATTTTCATTGTTTGTCTGTAGCCACAGTTAGCCACTAGCCTTGCAGCCTTGAAAGGAGCATTTTCCTGCATGAGGGCAGCCTGCCACTTGCCTGCCAGATTGCTAGCTGGGCGCTGCTGTTTGAAGCGCCGCAGCCACTTCTCAGCTGTTTTTCAGTTTTTTTAATCTTGCGGTTTAGCAGTTTCTTTACGATCTGCTTAATTTCAGTCCCAGGCTGACTGCCAGCCATCTCAGGGACTCCCAGCTGTTAAAATCACCAAATCAGCCCTTCGGTAGCCAGACAGCTTAGAAATAAGTGTGGCTACAGGGATTGTGTGCTGGCTCGCCGCCACTGAGCCCATTGCAACTTAGCCCCATTTTAAAAAGGGAGCAACTGCCATTCAAGCGGGCAGCAGCCTTTTTTCCTTTTGCAGGCAGAACAGCTCCTGGGCTAAGTAAGCTGTCAGAATGGTTGTACAGTTTCTGTCGGCTGACAGCATGGCAGGACAAGAAGTCTCTTCATCTGCTCCCAGCAGGAAGTCCAGCTCCAGAAGAGGCAGATCAGCCAGGCAGGATGCAGCTGACAAGATTAGAGCCAAGGCTATCTACTCTAGAAAAGACGATCAATGGGGGCATGGATTTTACTCAATTGTTTTCCTCATTCCGAAGCCCTCAGGGGATAGAGACCAATTCTGGACCTCAAAAGGTTAAACATCCATTTGACGTACAAAAGGTTCAAAATGCACTCCCTGCAGTCTATTTTGGATGGATCAGGATGGGTGACCTTCTGTCTTCCATTGTCTTGAAAGAGGCATACCTCCACATCTCCATCCATCCCCAGCACCGATGGTTCCTCAGGTTCTGTTACTAGAGTCATCAGTTCCAGTACAGAGCCCTGCTGTTCAGCCCAGCCTCCCTCCCAGGTCCTTCAAAAAGAGCCTGGCAGCACTGGTCGCACACCTGAGATCCATCCCAGTGTGCCTCCAGTGCTGCCTTGACGAGATCCTCATCCAATCGTCCTCATCCCAGCTTGCCCAGAAGGATCTGGAAATGACAATCTGTGTTCTTCAGTAACATGGATTTTCTATAAATTTGCAGAAAAGTCATCTGGTACCTACCACTCGACTGCTCCATTTTGGAGCAGTGATAGATACCAGGCTGTGTGAGGTCTATCTTTCCCAGGAGCTACAGGACAGTATCAAGTCCTTAATCACTCAAAACAGGACGGAACATCTTGTTCTATTGGCAGTTCTCTCTCAGCTCCTGGGAAAGACAGTCTTGTGTATAGCCATCGTCCCATGGGCCCGATTGCCCCTAAGGACTCTGCAATGGTTCCTCCTACCATTCCAGAGAACAGGGGGCAGCAATTCCAATGCCAAAGTCAGGGTTCCATTGGAAATACTCAGGTCCCTCAGATGGTGGGTGTCCCCAGCAATAGCCAGGGATAGAAGAGATCGGCAGGGCAGTGACATGGTCCTCACCATCTCCCTTTGTGTGCCACTATAAGTTGGTCACTTTTGCCTCTGCTGAGGCTGCCTTTGGGAGGCGAGTACTTCAGCGAGTGCATGTAGTTAGGGGGACTCAGGACTACAACAATCTCCGCCCATAGGGACACCGGTATGTCCAATCCGTGGATTCTCCAATCATCGTGCTGGAGAAAGAGCATTGTCTTACCTGAACGCTTCTTCTCAACATGGCGATGGAGAATCCACTCCCTCCTTGGGAGGCAGTCAGGTCCTTCATCCAGCACAGAAATACTGGAAGAGCCAATGCCACCAACAACTCCTTCAGTTTGCCGTGCCTTCGTCGTTAACTGGGAAAAGTGACAGTTGACAAAGGGTGTGGCAAAAATTATGGACTCAGTCTCCGGGCAGAAAGGCATGTGTCAACCCATCTGTGGATTCTCCATCGCTGTGCTGAGAAGAAGTGTTAAGGGAAGACAATACTCTTTTTCTTATGGTTATATTGCACTTGTCTATTATTATTTTTTAACCTCCCCAACCCCCACACTACTGGATAGTATATTTATTTATTGTACTTAAAGTAACAGGGGAGAGAACCAGTTTACTACACACAAAAAAGGAAATTACAAATAATAAAGGAATGAAGAATGACAAATTAAGTCCAAGAACATAATATAAATCAAAGGAGCAATTCAGAAAGAGCTCTTAACCACAGATATATTCCACATGTTCTAGATAACGTAAAATAGAGGAACTAGCTACTGTATAAAGAAGTATAGAGTTACATTACTTTCTAGGCAAGATTTACTCTCTAGGCAAGATTTCCAATCTTGGAAAATAATAATATTAACTCTTTACTGAGGCATCTTGTAGTTGTAAGATGACCGTGGAAGCGAACAGGTTATAGCACTGTTGATCAATCTGAGATAAGATGCCACATTCACTCTGAAGGTCAAATTACAACAAAGACAACATCTCCAAGAAGAAAAGGGAAGGTCAGGAGGAACTGATGGATAAAGTACTGGTAAATGGAGGTTGCGGTGAATGTTTGAGCTGTTTAAAATTTTTTCCAGCTTGAGCAAAAAGAAAATTTTATATATTGAAAGCAATAAAAGTAATAATGAAGTGACATGCTTGAATATTTTTTATCAGCACAATCTTTTGATTCAATTTTAGAGAGTTATAATACTGTAATACAGTGTAGGAATTACAGAAGTTACTAGTATTAAAATATTTGTGTTACCTCAAACCATGGTTAATTATAAATTGAAGTTAGGAAAACACTCACTGCCAACTCTAATGCCCATAAGGCTAATAAAAGTCTAATATTTTTGCAGAGTTTTCTAAACATAAGAGACTTTACAAACAATTTCCTAAATATAGGTAAACAGCCAATACAAAAGGTATGATTATATTTATTTGGTCAATAGGAACTAATGACTTTTTTGGCATATCACAGTGGATAATCTTAATAGTAGACTGATGTTTTTGGACATTGCACCCTACTGTAGATTGGCAAAAGGTATTTTATGGAACTATACGGAGATACATAATGAATCAAAGAGGCCCCACTATACTGCAGAGAACCAGCTGCTTGCTGGTGGTAATGATTGCAGAGGTTAAGCATTTAATTACATTAAGTAAATAAAATGAATGGAAGGCTCTAGTTTGAATTAATCCCATCTCTGATTCCCCAGATAATCAGGAATAATAAGAATTGTGAATTTCCATTGTGGTCTTACTATCTGTGATCAAGCAAAGTTGTATCTTGAGGGTTTGGAGCTTGCAATTTCTATGGTCCCAGTTTGTGTTTCTAAATCTATAAGTAGTAAACATGCTGGAAAAGATAATGGCAAACCACTTGACACCAGCAAAAAAGCCTTGTGACTACATGATTGCGTACATGTAGTCACTAGACACTGAGCTCCATTCAAGATCATATATACTTTATGTTTTACTTAAAGATGGAATATATTATCAAACACCAAATAAATATTAAATTTGGTTCCACATGTGAGGACTTTTTTGTGTGACTTTGTCCCACTGTTTTCTGTTAGCCAGAGAAAGAAAGTATATAATACTAGACCTTAACATTTATCCTAGTTCCATTTTATGGAGTTATTGCAAGACCTTCCAACAAAGCTTCTAAAGAAAAATGGTAACGTTAGGAAAGAATGAAGATTCAGTCTTGTAAACATTCTACTTTGATGTAAGCTTCAGTGAATTTAATAAAAGACATGTCTGTATATATTATTGCATTACTACAAAATATTGGGTTTGCTTAAGTTTGCATACGGTTTGCATACTTTTCTATCCATTGTTTTTTATTCTTTTTTATTCTTTAAACTTGTCAGTAATGTCTTCTTCTTAGTAATGTCTTCTTTGACAGATAGATGCTACATAAATTAAATTAAATTAATTAATATCAACAATAACCTAGATGACATACATCCTGTTCTACACTTTTAGCACTTTCATTTATATTACTTAATTATTAATTAATACAAATTAAGGCAAAAGTTCTAATTGTAATATTGCTGGGGACTGTTTTTGGATTTTACTGTCTTTTTCTAATGTATTCACCTTTCTTTTTCTTTACAGTTCATTGCTTTTGCCTCTTTATTCTTCATCCTGCTCTCGATTACCACCTTTTGCCTGGAAACCCATGAAGCATTTAATACCATCAAAAATAAAACAGAACCTATCAAAGGTAGTGACCCAGTTCTACAATATGAAATAGAGACAGATCCAGCCCTAACATATGTTGAAGGAGTCTGTGTGGTGTGGTTTACATTTGAGTTTTTAGTCCGTGTTGTTTTTTCACCCAACAAACGTGAATTCATAAAAAATCTCTTGAATATCATTGACTTTGTGGCAATTTTGCCTTTCTATCTAGAAGTGGGTCTGAGTGGGCTCTCCTCTAAAGCTGCTAAGGATGTTCTTGGTTTCCTCAGGGTGGTGAGGTTTGTGAGAATATTGCGAATCTTCAAGCTCACTCGACATTTTGTTGGCCTCAGGGTGCTTGGTCATACGCTCCGTGCAAGCACCAATGAGTTTTTGCTGCTGATAATATTTTTGGCATTAGGAGTGTTGATATTTGCCACCATGATCTATTACGCTGAACGAATAGGTGCCAAACCCAATGACCCATCAGCTAGTGAACATACAGAGTTCAAAAACATTCCCATTGGGTTTTGGTGGGCTGTGGTCACCATGACTACTCTTGGATATGGAGACATGTATCCAAAGACTTGGTCAGGCATGCTAGTGGGTGCTCTGTGTGCTTTAGCTGGAGTGCTGACCATAGCTATGCCTGTGCCTGTTATTGTCAACAATTTTGGAATGTACTATTCTCTGGCCATGGCGAAACAGAAGCTTCCAAGAAAGAGAAAGAAGCACATCCCACCTGTTCCTCAGGCAAGGTCCCCTACATTTTGCAAGACAGACTTGAATATGGCCTGCAATAGCACACAGGGAGAAGTCTGTCTTGGCAAAGACAACCGGCTGATGGAACATAATAAATCAGGTAGGACACAATTCCAGGTGCATGTCTGGTATGTCTGGCAATATAAAGAATGAGAAAACATTTAAACTTTCTTCAGCTGAAGAAAATAGACCATGCACTTCTCTCTTCAACCACTATTTGTGTGCCAGTCCCATAAATGGCAAAGTAACTAGATCTCTGAATCTAGCAATCTCTGAATTGCTTTCTATATGGTGTTTGCTAAATGTATTCTGGATGCTAAGTTGCTTTTTGTTCCCTCTTTTTCTTTTCTAGTGGTGGCTTCCTCTGTTTTTGCTTATTGCATTGTACAGATGTTTTGTTCATGCAATTGTGCCTTCATTCTGTTGAATTTTTATCTTATGTAATGTTTCCCTTGTTTGCTGGTGTAACAAAATACTAGCATCAATCTTTATATTATTTAAACATAGGTTAGCTTTGGTCGTCCTATCCCAAATGAATGGCTTTGGGGTCTTTGGATTTGAGCTACATTTAAATTTGTGACTTGCAGTCTCCATTGAAGAACATTAAGTTCATCATTAGTGTCTTAGTCTAACATTATGCTGAGTGACAGATTGGCCTTAGACTGCAGGTGTTGCATATATAAAAGCAATAGTGGAGTATTAGAAAACAGAACTGTGGATATTATGCAAGCTATCTTGTGAAATATACTGTCTCACTGCCAGAACTGAAGAAAGATCATAGTCTCAGTGGCTTTTCCTCATGAGATTGCCACCAACTTTATTTTAAGCAGCAAAATATCTTGGATGAACCCGGAAGAATTCCCTAATTATCAAATGTAGACATATAATATCTGCTGTTGTTAATGCCAATTGATTCCTTTGAGTAGTGGATGAAATGCTATAGAACCAACATTTTTGAAATACTGAAGACACTGAGGCAATATATAATACTGAAGACAGCATCAGTCTAAATGGCCAGTTTGTTTGTTTCTTAGGAAATCATAGATTTTCAACTTTATGAGGAACATTTTTTTTTCATTTCATAACTTACTACTACTTATTGTTCTTTTCCACCTTCAATAGTAAGAGTATAAGGCAAGTTATTTGTGATGTCTCGTTTATTCATTGGCTATATGATGTAAATGGGCATGGTGCTTTGACCAGTGTTATCAGGTGAAGACAGTACAGAAAGTGAGCAGCCATTGTCACCTATGGAAAGGCCCCCACCAATCAGACGCTCTAGTACCAGAGACAAAAACAGAAGAGGGGGAACATGTTTTCTACTGACAGCAGGTGATTACCCGTGTGCTACTGATGGAGGGATCAGGAAAGGTATGGAGTCTTTCATTAGACTATAAATATTATCACTATTCTTCTGAACAAATAATCCTGGAATAAAGCAGATACGAATTCATGCTATAGGAAATACTATAGTCAGATCAATGCATTTTTCCTTCATATTTTCTTTGTTGTTCCTTGTTTCGTATTAGAAATGTCTTTGGCTCATTAATTCATTGAAAAATATGTCACTGTTTCATTCATGATTTCATTTGTCTACCTGAAAGAATGAAGATGTAGCTTAGACCATTTTCATTCAATCGCTTTCTAAACAATTAGAAATTGCTGTGGGATAGCTTAAATGTAAGTTATTGTAAGTACTATTGTAATTTAGTTTATGCTGTAGAAGGATGATTTAATTAACTCTGAGGTAGAAAAAACAAAGTTCTGAAAAAATAAACAAAAATGTTAAGGTACTATTTTTTTTTACAAAGTGTTTATATTGAAAGAAGGAACATGGTTACTCAAAGCCACTAAGTTAAGGATAGGTCCACTATGTTGAATAGAAAATTGCTTCAGCTACACCGGTGTTACTATATTTTTCCCTGCAGCAAACTAATGAAAGTTCAATGGCATGCCTAGGTCACGTGCATCTTTGAATCACAACCCAATCTTTAAACCCCTCCTCCCCCAAAAGGTTATTTGTTGCTTTATTTGTTTAAAAAAATTACTTTGCATTAGGATCTGCAAGCAGCATTTAAAAATCCATATCCACTTTTGTTCACAGTTTTCCATAACATATGGCATTTTAGTATACACTTTCTATTGCTGTACTTAGTTGTTAATGTAAATTCCCCAAGAAATCATTTTTAAAGCAAATTTCCGTGATGATATTTCATAAATTTCCCAAGTACTTTTTAAAATGTACATTTCCTTAATATTTATGTAACTACCCCTTTTTGTATGCAACATTCAGAAACATAACACTCTTTTTCAGATGCATCTTTCACAAACAAATGGAATTTTTATGCGGATTTTTGACCAGAGAAAGATGGACACTAGCAGACTCAGTTCAGAGCTACTGTCTTTATTGCAACAAAGTCCATACTGGGGAATCTTGCAAATCTGCTCCCACAGATTTCTTTTACATCCCTAGGTATGTCATCCATATTTTATGTGTTTGTTGTGGGAAACCCTGGTGTATTTGCAGCAATTATGGGTGCTATCTTAAAGGGCTATTGCTTCTGAGATCAAATAGCATTTGTATTTCTATTCATCTCATTCTCTATAGTTACTATTGACTAGATAACCCACATAGTTCATTTATAGACCAAAACCAGGAGGTTTTGGACCATGTTCAACCACTGCTGTGGAAGCTCACATTCATTCTCTCTCAACCCAACTTATTTTAGAGGATTATGGTTGTGAAGAGAAATGTCAGAAAGGAGTACTGTGTATTTTGCTTTGATATCCTAGAGAAAAGGAATGATATAAATTTAACAAAAATAAGTAATTGTCGGTATGTGCTCCTTTCAAAATCCAAGAAAGAAATACTCAGACT